GGAGAGTGAACCAGCAGATGAAAGATTGATCTCTCTCTGTCTCTCTCTCCCTTTCTCTCTTCCTTTCTTTCTTTCTCTGCCTCCCTGTAACCCTGCCTTTCAAACAAATCTAAAAAAAAAAAAAAGCCGGCGCCGTGGCTCAATAGGCTAATCCTCCACCTTGCGGCGCCGGCACACCGGGTTCTAGTCCCGGTCGGGGTGCCGGATTCTGTCCCGGTTGCCCCTCTTCCAGGCCAGCTCTCTGCTATGGCCAGGGAGTGCAGTGGAGGATGGCCCAGGTGCTTGGGCCCTGCACCCCATGGGAGACCAGGAAAAGCACCTGGCTCCTGGCTCCTGCCATCGGATCAGCGCGGTGCGCCGGCTGCAGCGGCGGCCATTGGAGGGTGAACCAATGGCAAAGGAAGACCTTTCTCTCTCTGTCTCTCTCTCTCACTGTCCACTCTGCCTGTCAAAAAAAAAAAAAAAAAAGGAAGGAGTTTGGGGAAAATAGGAGTGATTGGGCATAGGCCATGCTGAAAAGAAGCCAAAGGTAAAATCATTTTTATTTGGTAATTACGTCATGGGAAAACATTAAGGTAGCAGTTACAGAGTGTTGTAAGGAAAGCAGCCAGTTTGTGCCACATTTTCTCAAGCTGGTTCCCCGAGGTTGTCACTGATTCCTTTTTTTTTTTTTTTTTTAAGATTCATTTTGTTATTTGAAAGTTACAGAGAGAGAATCTTTAGTCTACTGGTTCACTCCCCAAATGGCCACAAGCCAGGAGCCAGGAGCATCATCTGGGTCTCCAATGTAGGTGGCAGGGCCCCAAACACTTGGGCCATGTTCTGCTGCTTTTCCCAGGCCATTAGCAGGGAGCTTGGTTGGAAGTGGAGCAGCAATGAGACATGAACTGGTGCCCATCGGGGATGCCAGTGTTGCAGGTGGCAGCTTTGCTCACCACATCACACTAGTCCCCACTGATTCTAATTCATGCTGTATACACAATGCGCATTTGTTCTCATGAGTTCTCCCTTTTCTTCCTTTCGGATGTGTGTCTTGAGCCCCAAATATTTCATAGATCCTCCACATTTAGGTATTGCTTCTTTTTTAGAATTATGTGATTCCTCACTAGAATGTACGCTTTATGAGATCAAGATCAGAGACCATGATTATATTATTTCGTTAAGAATATAATAACGTAGGGAGCCTGGAACACCCACATCCCAAATTAGAGTACTGGGGTTCTATCCTTGGCTCTGGCCCCTTACCCCAACTCCCTGCTAATGTACACCCTGGAAGGCAGGAGCTGATGGCTCAAGTAGTTTCCCTGCCACTCACATGGTAGACCTAGACTGAGTTCCTGGCTCACAGCTTTGGTCTGGATCAGCCCTGGCCATTGCAGATATTTGGGAGACTGAACCAGCAATGAAAAGAATTAAAAGAATACTCTTGGCAAAGACTTTACATATAATACCTACTTGAAAAGTATTTGTATGGTTAATCAGTGATTAAGATTTCAAAATGAGGATCCAGCATTGTACAGCAGGTTAAGCCACTGCCTGTGACACCAGCATCACATATGAACATAGGTTCAAGTCCCAGCCGCTCCGCCTCTGATCCAGCTCCCCACTGATACACCTAGGAAAGCAGTGGAAGTTGGCCCAAGGAATCAGGCCCCTGCCACCCATGTGAAAGATCCAGATTAAGTTTCAGGTTCCTATAATTGGCCTGTCCCAGCCCCAACTGTTGGGACCATTTGAGAAGTGGCCAGGCAGATGGAAAATTTTTTTCCCTCTCTGTAACACTACCTTAAATTTTTTTTAAATATGGAGCCTTCTCTGTTGTTTCAGCTAATGGCAGGACCACCTAGCCTCATCTGTGTAGTTGGTTATCCACAAACTTAAGTCACCTGGGTGTCCTCTCAGCCACATCCAGTCATTTTCATTTTATGCATTCCTATATTGATTTCTCTCAAAATATCATTCACTCGTTGGCAAATATTTGTGGCAAGTTTGTGCAGTAGACCCTGGGCTGGTGAGTGGTGCCATACTGACCCCTGCCTTCAAGCTTGCAGGCAGGATGAGTGTGCACCCCCTGGCACTCACCTGGACTGGCCCCCTACCCACTTCCCTGCCTCCAAGGCTCCCCACAGGCCCTTTCCAGGCTGTCTGCATCTGACCTGAAGGCAAAGAGGTGGTATCTTACCTATTGGTCAGTCTCCTCTGCCCAGGGTTGAACAAAGGACCTGCAGAGTAAATTCAGACCCTAGAGCACTGCATATTTGTTTTCTATTGCTGCTATAAAAAATTACAAGCCTAGCAGCTGAACACAAATGTGTCATCTCACAGTTCTGGAGGTCACAAGTCTGCAAGTGTTACTAGGACAAAAATCGAACTGTTCCCCAGGCTGCATTCTCTGTAGGCTGGAGCCACTTCCTTGCCTTTTCCGGCTCATAGGGGCCACCCACATTCCTTGGTTTGAAGCCCCTTCCTCCATCTAGCACAGGTTAGTTGGGCCTTCACTGCGTCATTCTGAATTCTGCCTCCTACTTCCAGTCCTATTACGTTGTACTCTCCTGGAAAACCTAGGGATTTTGCAGTCTTTTTACAGTCTCTTTTGCCATATTTTACCCATAGGCACATCCTTACTCCATGAATCTATCTATGGGGTAGGAGGAGCTTTATTTCTGCCTGTGCTACATGGGGTATGCAACACCTGTTTGGTACTTACCTCCTTAACCTCATTTCCACGTGCTTCTTTCCAAGTTGTCTAGGTCTAGTTGTGTTTGTTTCTGGACTGTTTCTGCTGTTTGAAAAGCTTCCCTTCTGCCCCCACCTCTACACTTGCCTTCCTAGGAACTGCCTACTTACAGCTGACCCACACTGAGCGTGTCTGTGATGGTTTTTCCTGCTTCCTCTTCTGCATGCAAGTAGGATGCATGCCTAGCTAGCTAGCTGAAATAGGAAGCACATAGTAGCAGCAGGGACTCATGTGGGCCCATTTCACCGTATAGTCCAGTGCTTGGATTAACTGAACACTGGAACTAATAAAAGTTATCAGATTTAATAATTGGGAGTTTCAAGGTTTTGGTAATAGTACAAATAATACAAATTGCAAAAGATGGAAGAGGAAGAAAAGGTTCTTTGGTCAGAGTTGAAGCTAAATGGAAGAAGACTGGGTCAGTAGTTTGAGAAGAGAAGCAAATGCACACCAGGGTCAAGCAGCTCCTAGAAATGAAAAAAGATGAAAGAGATGGGAGAGGAATATTCTGAACATTTACTCAGGTTAGAAACCACAGGACCCTAGGAATCCCTAAATAAGAGCAAATCATCTCAGAGTTTCAATATGTTAACTCATTAGTAAAGGCAGTTTCATGTTGTGTAAGAATCATAAAAATGAGTAGAATACGCTAACATGTTCCTATCAATACCTGCACTTGCAGTAATGGTAACTGGTCTCCTGATTTTCACTTACCAAACCTGCACCCTCCCCAAATCCCATGAGACTATTAAATAGTCCTTTTTCTTTTTTTGGATTAATTTATTTTACTTGAAAGTCATAGTTACAGAGAGAGGAGAGGCAGAGAGAGGTCTTCCATCCGCTGGTTCACTCCCCACATGGCTGCAACAGCCAGAGCTATGCCGATCCAAAGCCAGGAGCCAAGAGCTTCTTCTGGGTCTCCCATGCCTGTGCAGGACCCAAGGAATTAGGCCATCTTCTACTGCTTTCCCAGGCCATAGCAGAGAGCTGGATCGGAAGTAGAGCAGCCAGAACTCGAACCCCGGCACCCACGTGGGATGCCGGGACTGCAGGCGGAGGATTAACCTACTGTGCCACAGCACCGGCCCCAATCAAATAGTCTAAAAACGTTTATTAGCAGACTTCTCAATTGCCATAGGAAAGTGAGAAATATTGAGTAGGGGGGCCAGTGCTGTGGCATAGCAGGTAAAGCTGCAGCCCATGGTGGTGGCGTCCCATGTGGGTGCCGGTTCGAGTCTGGCTGCACCACTTCTGATACAGCTCTCTGCTATGGCCTGGGCAAGCATTGGAAAATGGCTCAAGTCCTTGGGCCCTTGTACCCATATGGGAGACCTGGAAGAAGCTCCTGGCTCTGGATCGGCACGTTGTGGCCATTTGGGGAGTGAGCCAGTGATGGAAGACACCTTTCCCTCTCCTGCTCGCTCTCCCTCTCTGTAACTCTGCCTTTCAAATAAATATTTTTAAAAAACTGAGTAGGTATATAGGTTGCCAAGTCAAGTTCAGGCCTAAAAATCAAGGTTTATTTTCTGTGAACTACAATATGTTCATGAAGCATCCTAAAACAGAACCTTTGCATTTCAAAGTAGTGCCATCTGGTGGTGAGTGTGCAGCAGGTCAGGTGTTAAGTATTTGGGGTTTTTCAGATGATAATCGCTGTTTTCATGACCTTTAGGCTGTGCTAGTTTCAGGGCTGCTTTGTTTGTTTAAAATTTGAGAGGCTTCTGCTGGTTCACTTCCCAAATGCCTGCAACAGCCAGTGCCAGGCTGGAGAGAAGTCAGCTCCTACATGGGTGGCAGGACTCCAATTACTTGAGCCATCACTACTGCCTCCAAGGTTTGCATTACCAGGAAGCTGGAGTCAAGAACAGGAGATGGGCATCAAAACCACCTCCTCTAATAATGGGATAAGGATGCCTTACTTAGCATTTTAACTGCTACACCAAATACCTGCCCCAAGGATGCCTTTTTAAATTGCTAAACATCTAAGATCAGCTACCAAAACTAGGACTTTTCAGAAACATTTTCAGGTCTTTACCAATATTCACAAATAGAGAAGTTTTGGTATGCAAAGTATTTCTTGCAGTTAAGTCTGCTTTGCTGGATGTCTCCCAGATGGAATCACAAGGCTGGCTGTCCTTGGCTGGGTGACCGAGGACCAAGAGTGGAAGGGATGATTTCCACGGTGTACCTGCAGAATTCTGCAGCATGCAACCAAAATAATTTTCCTAGACATGAACACTTGACTATACTTTTAAAAATACAGGTCATGAATGAAAAACTTCAGCACTGCATGGAACTGACAGATCTGATGCGGAACCACCTTAACGAGAAGAGGGCCCTGCGACTCGAATGGATGATTGTCATCCTCATCACCATAGAGGTGAGCAGAGCCCTCCTGGCCCACGCCCACCATCTCTGCACAAACACAGGGCTAAGAAAGAATTACAGCACGAAAGAGGATGGCCTTGTTCTAATTACTGATTCTACTTAGAAGTGAGGCAAGTTCTCAGTGATAGTATTTTGCAGCTGCATTCAATGTACTATTTTGAAGATTCCACATTTGTGAAGGTAGCATCTGGGAAGAGTTGTAGCTGCTTCAAACAGCCCAACACCAGGAATCCGTCTCTCACCGGCAGCTTGCCCTGTAAGGAGGGCAGATATTCACTCTAACATTTTTAATTAATCAGTCTTGGAAAAGTCATTTTAGTTTGCTCTGATAATTTACCTGCCAGGAAGTAATTTTTACTTTTTTCATCCTAAGGTAATGTTTGAGCTGGGACGAGTATTTTTTTGATCAAGTGTAACCAAAGTGTCATTGCCAAGATGCTTAAGTTCTACAATCAAAAGTGAAGTTCAACATTGGGTAATCTCATTTAATAGGTTATTTTTTAAAATAAAATTGTAATAATGGGCTGTTTCAGCTCCCAAATACATTGCTGCTTGAATAAAAATTATGAAGAACTGGTATGCGGCTCTCTATCACTAGCAGTTCAAAAAGGAAAAGTTTATTTCACCTTAAAGAACTTTGAGAACTCTTTAAAAAAGCATTCCTTAACCTGTCCCTGAATCCCAATCATTGTAATGAGAGCCACACAACTCAGGAGTGTTGAAATCAGTATATGCAACAAACTAGACCTTGGATGGCAGAAATGGATTTTGTATAACTACCTCAGTGGTGTAATTTGTGTTACTATTCACTGGCACTTCACTTTGTATTAATATTTTGTCTTTTTACTACTCAAGAGTTTTAGATTTATATATTTGAAAAGCAGAGAGAAATTGGGCCTCTGGGTGGCAGGTGATAGACTGAATTTTCCTCCGCTAGTCTGGTCTCCAAATGGCTGCAACAGCCAGGGCCAAGCCAGGCAGAAGCCAGGAGCCCAGAACTTCATCCACGTCTCCCACCTGGGTGGCAGGGGGCCAAGTTCTGGGGACCTCATCATCTGCTGCTTTCCCAGGCACATCAGCACGGAGCTGGTTTAGAAGCAGAGGAGCCGGCACTCCACACAGTGCTCCAAAATGGGACGCTGACATCACATAACTTGCTTTTCTGCAACACTGGCCCAGTCACGTCTGGGTTCCCAGAGACCTTTTATTTAATTTTGCATATACTTTGGCAAAATTAAAAAATACTGAACACAATTAACATCCTGAGTGTTTTTTTTTTTTTTTTTAATCTTCGTTGACGTATTTTTACACACAATCCCACCCACAATCCCACCGGAGTAAATTTTTCTTTTCCCACCCACAATCCCACCGGAGTAAATTTTTCTTTTAAGGTTTCAAAGAGTAATATACTGGTTCACTTCCCAAATGGCAACTGACTGGGGTTAGGCCAAGAGCTCCATCCAGGTCTACATAAGTAGCAGAGGCCCAAGCACTTGAGCCATCTGCTGCCTTCCTTAGGCACAATAGCAGGGACCTGGAGCTAAAGTGGAGCAGTCCTAACTCAAACTGGCACTCACATGAAATCTCTGTGTCACAGGCAGTGGTTCAACAATGCAGACCCTACTGGGTGAATTTAATGTTCCCTTTATCTTATGTACAATGGTTGTTAGTAAGACAAGCCCACAATTTTTTTTTAATTACCACTAACTTTTTAAAGACCCCTCCTATGCATATCCATGATCAGTCATTTTAAACTTAATTGCTTCAGTGCCCCATCAACATATACATTCATCACCTTATTAGTGGCCATTTACTTGCCAAGTGCCAGGGTGAACATCTGGTGGCATTTTGAGGTGTGCATATCCCAAAGGTATCCAATAACTTTCCAAAGGGATGTAGGCTTGGATAGCTGGAAGAAAATTTTCCTTAAACCAAATTACATGGCTCTAAAAACTCAACATGCTATGTACCCATCTGCAATCAATGAACCAAGCCTGTTCTTTCCCATCTTTTCTTCTAAACAGAAGGAACTTTCTCCCATCCTGAATTATCTGGCCCTTTATACTTAAAATCCTGACATCTATTTACCCTATATGTTAAAACCTTTGTGAAGCTACAAGAGAAAAATGTCAGAGACTTGTCAATAAAACTCTTCTTTCCCCTATCTATGAAGAGGTGTACTTCCAGTAGTATTTCACTCTCAAGTATCAATGTGTACAACTTGCTGTTTATATTTTTTAAAATTTATTTATTTGAAAGGCAGAGAGAGAGGTCTTCCATCCGCTGGTTCACTCCCTAATTGGCTGCAACAGCCGGAGGGAGCTGTGCTGACCCAAAGCCAGGAGCCAGTATCTTCTGGGTCTCCCACATGGATGATATCTACTGTTTTCCCAGTCCATAGCAGAGAGCTGGTTCGGAAGTGGAGCAGCTGGGACTCAAACTGGCGGCCACATGGGATGCTGGCACTGCAGGCAGCTGCCTCGATTATAACAACTTAATAAGCCAGAAAAATCATCAACATTTGGCGCCTTTTAGTCAGAGCATACTGAAATTTAACAATTTGTCAGAGTAAAGGATAAACCAAAGACTTTCATAAACATTTATTAAAATAATGTGGGGGAAATGCAACATATACAAATATTAAGAAAAAAAGAACAGTATTAAATTTGAATAAAACACTCATGTGTAAATGGATCATGGTAGACATCAATTCAGTTATGGTAATATATCCCACTAAATAATAGTCTTTGAAAGGTGCCGTTATAGCTTTATTTTGAAATGTCAATATTTGATACTTTCAAAATAATCTTTTTCAACTATTTAAATTTTATCTGAAAGGCACAGTTAGAGAAGAGAAAGGGAAGGAAAGAGAGTATCCCAAAGGTAGCCAATTTTGGATACTTCCATCCACTAGTTCACTCTGCAAATGGCCAAAATGGCTGGGGGCTACGCCAGCAAAGCCACAAGCCTAGAACTCCTGCCACCCCATGTGGATGGTAGGGGCCTGGAAGTCCTTGGGCCGTCTTCCCCTGCTTTCCCAGGCCCGTTAGCGGGGAGTGGAGCAGCCAGAACGCAAATCAGCACATCACAGGCAGCAGCTTCACCTCCTGAGTCACAATGCTGTCTCCTAACTTTAATTACGACTAAAAACTTCAACTTAAGTTGCAGAAGAGTTCTGAAAATGTTACAACACAACAAAAAAAAAATGACCAAAAAAAACTATACCTGAATATTGAGAGCATACAGGAAGTATATTCACCATCAGCTTTGGGCACAGTTCTCAAAAGTGGTATGGGATTTCTACCACCTCTTTGGGTTTGGTCTAAAAGGCTGAGTTAGCAAGAGAGGGAGAAAGATATCTTCCACCCACTGATCACTCCCCAAACGGCCTCAAGTCAGGGCTGGGTCAGGCTAAAGTCAAGAGCTCCATCTGGAGCTCCCACATGGGTGCAGGGGACCAAGGACTTAGATCATTTTCGGCTGTTTTCCCAAGCGCATTATCAGGGAGCTGGATCAAAGTGGAGCAGCCAGGATTCCAATCAGTGTTCACACAGGAGGCCAGCATCACAGGCATAACCCACTGTGCCACAGGAGTACCCCTGGATTTGAATTCTTGCTTCATCACTACTTACTGCCTATTTAAGAGTGTTATCACCCTGGCGCAGCAGGTTAAGCTGCAACTCCTAATGCTGGCATCTCCTATCAGCGCTGGTATAAGTCACAGCTGCTCCACTTCCAATCCACCTTCCTGCTAATGCACCTGGGAAGGAAATGAGAGGATGCTTCAAGTGCTTGGATCCCTGCAGCCCACAAGGGAGACCCAGAAGGGCTCCCTGACTTCTGATTTTTGGTTTGCCCCAGCCCTGGCTGTTGTCATCTTTTGGGGAGTAAGCCAGCAGATGTAACTCGCTCTTCCTTCGTCACTTTTTTTTTTTTTTAACTTATTTGACAGAGTTATAGACAGAGAGAAACAGCAAGAAAGGTCTTCCTTCCGTTGGTTCACTACTCAAATGGCTGCTATGGCCAGCACTGCGCCGATCCGAAGCCAGGAGCCAGGTGCTTCTTCCTGGTCTCCCATGACGGTGCAGTGGCCCAAATACTTGGGCCATCCTCCACTGCCCTCCCGGGCCACAGCAGAGAGCTGGATTGGAAGAGGAGCAACCAGGACTAGAACCCAGCACCCATATGCGATGCCGGCACCACAGAGGATTAGCCAAAGTGAGCCACAGCGCCAGCCCCTCCCTAGCACTCTTTCAAATAACTATTAAAAAAAAAAAGTGTACCACTTTGGGCAACTCATTATCTCTTTGGGCCCCCTTTCCTCATCTTTCAGTTGGTTTTAACAGTACTATCTGGTTGGGGTGCTGTGAGGATTAATGGACTATATATGAAGCAGTGAGACAGTTAATTACTACAGGCACCTTATGTGTGCGTCTTTCAAAAAGTTTGTGGAAAATGGAATTGAAAGATGTTTATTTTGGTGCAAAAAGATTTTGAGCAGGCAGTTAGTGTGGTCAGAATGCCCAAGTTCAAGTTCCAACTCAATTCTCCATTCCAGCTTCCTGCTAATGTGCGCTGGGAGCGAGAAGGTGATGGCTTCACTAGTTGGGTTCCCCACCACCCAAATGGAAGACTCAAGCTTAAGTTCTCAGCTCCTGGCTTTGACTTGGCCCAGCTCTGGCTATTGCAAACATTTGGGGAGTCAACCAGCAGACAGGAGACCACTGTTTCTATCTTAAATTAAACAAAAAAAAATCCTTTGGAATGCATGCATTTGAGGGGTCTTCAAGAAGTTCATGAGATGTATATTATGAAAAAAGTATACATGAATTTAACCACATATGGTTCTGAAAATAAATGGAGGCCAAATGAGAATTTCCAGGATTTCCTCTGAATCTTTAT